TGTTTCTCAATGACATTTCATTCATCAAAACTTCTATAAAAATATGAAAATATTTATCAGGGGACTAAAATCAATACAAAAATAGTTACATTCTATCTTGGGCTTTCCAATTATATAAAAACAAATATACTGCATTCAGGGAGATAGACCCATACACATTCTCTATCAAAGGCCATACATCAGAGTAAAATCATACAATGTATTATATCATCTGACATACAACAATGTAGGCAAAAAAACAAAAAACATCAAACAAATTCTACAAGCAACAACAGGAATTCATGAACCCCAAATATGTAAGCTGATTTTGTCATCTGAGCTGGTAAAAACTGTCTTTAAGAGGAACTAGAAAATACATGTAACACTAAAAACCATAGAATGCCCTGAACTGTTACTTCGGTAATTGCTCAAAAGTGACTCGTTCCTCACACTGGAATACCAGCTCACTTGTAAGAATACATACTTTTTACATGCCATGAAATCCTGCCTAGTATACAAAGGGACAGAAATCACTATAATATAAATATATTGTACAAAAGGACATAAATATATAAACGTGTTAACATATATATATATACATAGATTATGTACACTGTATCATATTAAATATATGTTTATTCTCTACTATCTATACCTATGCATGTGTGTGGGGGGAGAGGGGGTGCATGTGGATAAGTGCACGTGTATCTTTGAGTGTGCGTGTGGGTGCATGTGTGTGTCTCCTTGGGTGTGCATGTATCCGTGGGCATGCATGTTTCCATGGGTGTGCATATATCTGTGGGTGTGCGTGTATCCGTGTGTAACACAGACCTGGTCATGTGCATATGCAATAGTGTGAGAACTGCAAGGAAGAAAATATTTTTATACAAAAACTGTTCTTATAAATCTCTTATTTCATTCTGACTATATCTCACATATTAATTAAATATCACAGCAAACACAAAAAGAACAAAAGCAACAACTAGCTCAAAGGATTTGATTATTCTTGTGGAGTTGTTTGCTCTCTCTTTCTTGTACTTTTTTAACTGTTCTATTAACGAGGGACATCACTTCCACTATGAACTCCATTTTGAGATCCTTATGAGAAGAAAGGAATTCCACACAGGACATCACAGCCTCAGTGGCCATATCATAACGGAACGGCTTTCCCTGCACCTGATTCTGACTCTGTGACGACCATGCCTCCTTCACACAGTTGATGGATTCCATTAAATTTTCCTCCATCTCATCCCACGTCCTTTTCCTCTTCAAATTTCTTGACTCTGGCGGGATTTCTGGAAGATCAGGAAGGGGTGAAGGAGTGGATGATACCGAGGGTTTATGAAATGATTCTTTGCTATCTTCTGGGAGATCAGGCAGAGGTGAAGGAGACGACACTGATGAGGAAGGGGACAACAACACCCTGTCTTCATTGCCTGTCGAGTCTTTCTCCAATAAGCCTTCATATACAACAACTCCATTGCATGGCATTTCCTGAAATATATATATATACATATGTATAGCTTACAGTTTATGAATACAGAACATACCCAAAATATTCAAAACACAGCAGATAATGTCTGAAACAGGAAAAATTAAAATAGTCAGTGGTCATGATACTATTAAATAACTCAATGTAAATCAAGTATATTTTACCATCATGTCATCTGAGGGTGTGAAACTTGATTGACTTTGAACATTATCATAGATTGGTTGCATAAATAAACAGGAATTGAAAAACTCCCATTTAGCTGGTGTTTGGGCTCCCGAACCATTAGGCGAATTTTTTATTTTCCTCAACAACTTCTGAAAGTGGCCTCGAAGATACTGGAATCTCTGGACAACATCATCTGAAATGAAAGAGAAAAAGTAAATGCCCATACTCATTAATATGCTTGGCTACAAAGTATGCACATCACATTATGCTGAATCAATTAAGATAACAAATACACAGAAATATCACACTTATTCTGTATAAAGTATAACTATATAGAAAAGGTAAGACTGTTAATGGATATGTTTACATCTTTAGTAGTTTAAACCTTCAGCAGAATTCTGCATTGTATTAATCATTATGTATAATAACACTAGCTACATATATTCTACTCTGCTAAGCTACAAATACTCTACAAGTATATTTTTGAAAGCCTAATTCCACATTTCATTTTTTCATTCCATATTTTCTTCACATTTCCATATCTTATATTACAAACTCCTAATTTTACTCTATGTGATGGACAAAAATTTGTAAATAGATGTATATATAACTGCTCATACATTCACTGTATGAACAAGTGCATACACAACACAGATGGTTATCGATACACAAAATTGCTTATAACCCTTGCCTTTTCATATAGACCAAACAGAGATCAATACCAATACAAAAGTACTGATCGATACATATCACCGATATATGTATTGTGATACAGCCCATCTCTGACAACAGCAACAGTCAGACAATAAACCACCATTATATGCCTCTCTCTCTCACTTATCAGACTTAGTTCAGATAATCAATAAGTCTAAGAAATATTTGCCTGTGTCCATTTCAAGGTCTCATATGCCACATCATATTGAAACTTAAAAGTATATTAGTTGTGGCTCTTATATTCTATTTAAACATTTTAATATTTTCTCCCTATATCTATACATACAAAAAATATTCATATTTAGCATCTTATTGTATATGTAATAACATATTCTTTATCAAATTACAATTTTTCAATTTATATGAGCTCAAGTCATTGGTATTACTTTTATGCCTTGAAAATTGTATCAGTAAAGAGAGATAGACACCTTTTCACTTACTGTAAATTTCAAATCAAAGAACTTATTAGTATAACTTTAAATTTCAAATCAAATAAACTATTAGTATAACTATGTTTTGAAGAAAAACATTTTATATTCTCTATCATGCTTATCTAATATTATGTCTGAACCTATACCATAATCACACCATTGTGTAATCATGTACTAATAAAGTAACACTGTGTGACCAAGATATACATGGAAATAGTGGATATCTAATCTGAAGTCTGCTTATCTACCTATACCATAATCACACAGTTGTGGGTCCAGGACGTGTGACATGGAGCTATACCATAATCACACCATTGTGTAATCATGTACTAATAAAGTAACACTGTGTGACCAAGATATACATGGAAATAGTGGATATGTACTTGCATTTTTTATATATTGTGCACATATATAATCTTCCCATGTGATCACACCATTTGAACATAATTCAGGTAATTTAACAAGAAATACCTAAGCATCAAATACTGGCTACTATGACGAAAGAAACATACAATTCTAATCTCGTAATCACAGAGTCCCCATACCTCAGGCACATCAACAAGGATAAGCAACCCTCCCTTTTGTATATTCCCTCAAGACAGGTTTTTCTTTTTTTTATCAACGAATTGGATAATATGGATGCATTAAGCTTGGGCAAACTGAAGATGATATTCTAGTTAAGGACAAAAGGTTGCAGTCGTAGGTAAGAGAAATTATCTGCAGAAACAAACAGTAATGCCAGAAGTAAAAATTGTGGAAAGTCCCGCTAATAGCCAAAGTCCACTCTGTGCTTGTGTTCCAGAGTTTTAGCTCACAGTGTTGTGGAGCAAAGCCCACTTATCAACCCTCTCCTCATCTAGTTACAGCAACTATGCGTTGAGTAGATTTTGTGACACTGAGTTGGGGGCTTGGGCTATGGCGCGTAATCTGTACTGTCAAGATTTACCAAAGAATTCAAAGTGAAAGTCTACACAGCAATACTTGACTGGACAAATAGTGATTTTGGGGGGGCTGTTTGCTGGAATAATGAGAGTTATGGATGCTAGTAATTACTCAATACTCAAGCACTGCCAATATCATCACTATAGTTGTTTTTGGCACACTAGAACCATTACACCTTGGATTACCATTCTAACAGCAAAGGCAATGTACAGCATTACTTTACAATTACCCATTTTTGAACTTGTCTAGACTTTAACATATCAGGCAGAAATCAAGCATTAAAATACCTTGAAACATCAAATCTGAGATAGATTTATGCAAAAAAATGATAGTTAGTTTTAAGAACAAGTCAACATCTTAATACCAATCAAATATTATATCAATGAATTTCTATCAATGTCTACATAAACTAGGGGTAATTCTTTACAGTACGGATGCACCTGCCAAAGACTAAGTCCCCAACTCTTCATCGGAAATTTTATTCAACAATCTGAATTGCTGTGACTAGGTAAGCCCGCCTAAGCAGAGGGCTGATGGGGGAGCAGCCCCAAGGAAACATTGTCTTCACCTTGTATACACAGCAAGATAAAAGCTGAAACTTGGGAGGACCTAGTGGACTGAGGCTGCGAACTATCCACAAGCTTTTTCCTTTATTTGTGGTTTTATCGTTCATGCCTGCACATGATTTCTTGTACCGACAACTACAACTTTTCGTTCTCTACAAGAATATCATCTTCAATTTCCCCTAGCTTGGTGCATCCATACTGTAAAGATTTACCAAACCAGTAACAGTCAGCAGAATTAGTAAATCAAGATAATATGATTAATGTGCAGAAATACATAGTAATCCCATACTCTACCCCAGAAATTTATGATACCTTATGCCCTTCTACACAGTAGATCTATTACTGAAACTATTGTTGCTTATGACCAGTTAAAACCACTATAAATGGAAAGTAGACATGATAAGGAATGTATTAATACCATATTCAATAGACATTATGATGCAGGCCTAATTTATTAAAACCTGATTATTGACTTGATGTGGAAAAACAGCACAATATCGTTCTTCTCGTATCGGTTAACACAAAAAAATATATTACTGTATGAAACAGCATGTTTATCACATGCTTGTACTTATTAATTCATACAAAATTCGCATATCTAACCCAACCACTTATTCAAGTTTAGAATGAAGCTGTTCTGACTGCCTGGCATTTTCATTTACAAGCAATAAATCATGATTTTCCCGTGGTTCATGACCCAAGAATCACACACCTGTCGTCAGTGCGTGAAGATGCTTGTGCTCAGACTTCAACTCCATGCATACTTGATCGAAGCAGCTCCTCCTCAGGTTCTTTTTGCTGAAGAAACGATGGTTGGTATCCCACAGCACTTCCCGGGTCCTGATCTTCTCTAGGAGAGATTTCGTAAGGCCGGGACTCCAGACGATGGCCATTTCTGCGGCGTCTGGAGAGCTTGTTTTGGTTCGACGGTCAAATGAGGTCCAAAATTCTTAGTTTTTTAGATTTAAAATGTCAAAAATGTATATCAGTTCATTGCTTAGTAGAGATATATCACATTCAAAATCGTTCAGAGTTTTGTATAAAATGTATATTAGAATATATCGAACTTCAGATACTGAAGTTTGAATGTCCGCGACCTGTCTTGTGTTCGATGGGCGAAAGAGCGACAGGATATTTATTCCACTTGATTCAGTGATAACCAGCAGAAAACATGTCGCACTACAAAATTGTCATGCTAACTATACCAGTAATCTATATTACTGAGAGACAGAACGCACCATTTTTATCTGTTTCTAGAACCAGGCGGGACCCGGGATTATCGCTCCTCTCGAAGACATGGTACCTGGGGCTTTGGGGGAGGTAAACCAATATGATTTTTTTTTTTCGCAGGTATTAATGATCTATGCGTTTGCCTTAAACATTATAATCTACATTAAAGTCTGGATATCCCCGTCCTGCCCTGCGTTCGGTGGCCGAAAGAGACAGGATCTCTCCTCCAGTTGATAACCAGTATAAAACTTGTCGCACAAAAAATTGTCGTCATAATTACACCAGTACTCTGTATTACTATATTACCTCTCTCTCTCTCTCTCTCTCTCTCTCTCTCTCTCTCTCTCTCTCTCTCTCTCTCTCTCTCTCTCTCTCTCTCTCTCTCTCTCTCTCTCTCTCTCTCTCTCTCTCTCTCTCTCTCTCTCTCTCTCTCTCTCTCTCTCTCTCTCTCTCTCTCTCTCTCTCTCTCTCTCTCTCTCTCTCTCTCTCTCTCGTGGGGAAAAGACATGAGAGCATACAATTCCTTTACTTGAAATAGCACGATCTTCTCTTAGTCCACAATCAGGTATCATTCTTAGGGATACGCCAAATACAATTATTGGGATGTGGACATTTCTGAAATGTTCCAGAATTTTTTGAATATACTATATCACTTTTATTCTGATTTATACATCAAACAGGATATCGATAGTAATTAACTGGAAGACTCGAGTAAACAAGCTCTTAATATTCAGCAAAGACAAAAAGTACACATGCATTCTATTATACGGCGTATATGTGTACTAGCATCAATACAGAGTTCCAGTGTTTTAGTAAATGATTACCTTGTTGCTTGAATTCACAATGTAAGTATATAGCGTATTTCATCCCATTTAAAGATTTGGTTTAACTGACCTTATGTATGTAAATAGGTCGGACGGAGGTAGCTAACTTAAGCAAATGCCCGCGGCCGCACTACGCTGACAAAATATCCTACGCATTGGGAAACTGGTGTATATGTTCTGTTCATCATTTTAGCATTAAAGAACTGTCGTGCCAAAGTGGATATAGATAGAAGAGTATTTTTTCACTGCCATTTTAGCCATGGATCATTATATACTTGCTTTGCTTGAGGGAATCTAGCGACGCTTAAAATTTGGGTTGGCAACTCTGGCTGGGTTTGATTCTGTCCTATTCCCTCAGGCTAAAAATTGCGGTACCTATCTCCATTACCAAAATTCCGATAAGATAACATCAGTTCTCAGCTCAAAACCTTGCGTCATAAAACCAGAAGAGGAGAATGGTTAATGAAATATTTCTTAATTATAACCGCACTAAATTTATTTTCTGTCTAAAGTGGAGAACGTATCGGGGTCTTTGAAATACTGGGGTTAAAGGCAAAAAGCAAAATATTGGAAAGAAGAGTAGGAGGGAAGAATAGGTACAGAAGAAGGATGAGGGTGGAGAAATGAATTTTAGAAGAGAAAGGTGAGATGAGAGGGGGTGTATCCTGACTTTTATTAGCCTATCAATCTAGGTCACCGTGTTTTCGTGGTCACAGCGCCAACATTCTTATCACACAGCCAGTATACCTAGATAGACTAAATGACATTAGTTGATTTCACTTTCTTTTTCCATAAAATTAAGGTTTTTAGATTTTTAACGTCCAGAGGAAGAATGTCGTTGCTGTAAAAAGTCAAATAAAATGTAATAAAACAAATAGATGCAGTGCGATTCGATTCTTCTTTTCGAACCCGTGAAACCATCGCTTCTTACTTTCCTCTGCGAAACTATTGATCGCTCATCAAAAATGTGCCCTTTAAAAATTAAGTGAGAGGAAATCACGTCCTTTTCATTTGCCTGTGGCTATTTAATTTTGTTCTTCTTGTATATTAAATTCCGATCCATATAGAGCTTATTCTTTTTGATACTGCTTTCATATTGAAGCTGGTGATTTGATGGATGTTCAGTGTGTGTGAGAGAGGATGAGGATAAGGATCGTGCTGAGCCAATGGAAAATGTGTTAATCTATCCACCCCCGGCCCCTTAGTTCCCCTTCGAGTACATTCCACTTATACACCTCCCGGCTTGGCAGCTCTAGTCTAGATTCAAATTTGAGAAGTTCAACTAATTTCTTAAAGTGTATGGCCGTTTCTAGTCTTCCAGGGGCCCTATCCTCGACCTTACCCTCCCCTGTTGAGGGAGAGAGCGAGGTGGTAATTGTGTCTGGACTCCTGAAAGAAGATCAAAGTCACTAGCAGGCATCCAGTCCCTCCATGGGGCCTGCGGGGGACTATGGGGGCGTTAAGTAAATATACCGAAGACCGTTTGAGTTCTCCTGTAGATAGTGGGGCCTTAGGCCTATGCTTCAAAGTTATATTTTTCCGGCCGAAAGAGAGATCATTCCTGGCCAGAGTCAGGGGGTAATACCGTTTTGTTTCCCTTTGTTTTATTAAAATTAGGATGGGTGTTCAGAACTCACGGCGTTGCCGATGCCATAGATCCTGTTACCAAAGAACCGCGCACGGTGCCGGCTAAGAATTAGTAGTATTAGTCTGCAGATCTTAAAGTCATGGTTGATTTTCATTCTTATAATGTTTATCCCGCAACTTCCCGAAGTTTCCACAATTCCCAAAAACGTCGCTATAGTTGGTTTTCGCACAGAAGAATGTTGTGAATGCTTCATATATATCATAGTGTATATAATATATATAAATGGATATAGGTATATATGTATCTGCGTGTGTATACATATGACTATGATCTTGTTCAATATAATACTTTTAAGCTTTTTATGAGCGATATTAGCAATTATTACGATATAGTCCGATTGGCTCAGCCATTCTATTTCTATATCAAACTGCCTCTATATTGGCTGAATAGAATTTCAATATCAATAGGCAATCCGTATGTTAGTATCGACGAAGTGAATCCTTTACAACATCGTCATCAGTATTTCCGGTTTCAGCAGAAATACGAATGAGATGAATAGGAATGTCCTGAACCACCTGAAACGTTTCATTCGCTGCAGCAGATCCCATGCAAGGTTTCCGTTGCTAAGAGTAACCTTGTAAACCTGAAAAAGGGTTACTGAAATGCGTGTGAGTTCAATTTCAACGACCATTAGGCTAAGAAACATCTATTTGTATTCTTGGGATTTTCATTTATATGATATAATGGTGACAATAAAAAAAAACTAGATTTGTGGCAGGGAAAATCAAAAATACATTAAAGTTCTAGCTATAACTTCCTCGTCATATATTTTTTCTTGCTAATTAAATCCAAACCGTGATTGCTCTCCTCCTCCTTTCCATGCGTGAAGCCGAAGTGATTTTCAAAAGACACCTCTAAGCACGCCCATGAGCGCTGAATCTGGAAGGGGAAGAGGGTGAGGAGGGTGAGGATACCACGTGAGCAGGTCTGCCGTATTCGCTGCAATTTTGGTACACTCGGAACGAAGAAGAATCCTACTCTTATCTGTAGAGCAATCAGGTGTAGTGGGCGACGAAGTGGTCTTGAGGAAAGTAGGATCTCCAGTACAAGAGAACCTTGAGGTCTTACCCTTCTCTTCTCTTTCCCTCCCGTCTCTTCTCTTCCCTTCCCCTCCATTTCTCTCCCAGTCCCTCCTTTCCCTCCCTTTTCCCCTTGTCCCTCCTTTCCCTCCCGTCTCCCTCCCTTCCCTTACCCTCCCGTTCTCCTCCCTTCCCCTCCCTTCCCTTTCTCTCCTTTTCCTCCCTTTTCATCCCCCTTTCATCCCCCTGTCTCTCCCTTCCCCTCCCATCCCCCTTTCCGGCGCTGCTTCAGAGATGAGACTCCTCCTTGGCGGAATGTAAGTCAGTTTTTGTGTTCATTTTCTGAAGGCTATTTGTACTGCGGTCAAACTTATGCTTATCCAATAAAGATAAAAGATTCCTGTTGGATAAGCGGCTGGACTATTAGAAAAGATAAAAAAAAAATGCAGTGAGAATAAAGAAATGTAATAAAAACAATGCTATATCATTCATTCGCCATCTTTCTGCGTGCACGACTGATAAGTAAAACAGTTTCAGGGTCAGATATTTCGTGTGTGCGTACGGGTGTGCGTGCGTGCGTGACGTCATGAACCACGTCATAAGGGGGAGGAGTGAGAGCTATTGCAAGGAGGAACGGGAGGTAGAGGGAGGGGGATGGAGCGGGCATGAGCTGTGACCTTGCTTGGGAAAAGGAAACCCCGCTACCGTGAACCACATATATCAAAACTACCCTATATTATGGGAGGGCATTTAACACTATCTTTGATTTTACGATATTTACAAAGTCTGTCAGAGGCGATACCCTGTGTCTGCGTGTTTCGGGTGTGAGGGTATTTCCCAAGACGGACTGTGTTCCCTTCGCAGTATCCAGCATATCATTACCCGAGTTCCGCGTTAAAGTTGTTATTGACCAAACCACTTCATTAAAGTGGAGATTTTTTTTAAGACGTGTTTTCCGGTTCCTAGTTATGTGAATGTTTACCTGCATAT